AAACCCCTTGCCAAACCCCATCCCTGGAGGGGGGTGAGAGGATATGGGGGGACTTTCTGACTGACTGACAAGAGCTCTGGTGATGCAGACCGCATTCTGGAACAATACAGTGGCAACTGCCCCCCCCCCAAGCCCACCGGCCACCTTTCCCTGCCTGCCTCAATTCAGACCAGTTCTTCACAGCCTGAAGAGGTACTTGACCATGAAAACCAGCCACCAGGGGGCGTAGAAGGGATGGGAACCAACTTTTGGTCCTGAACCCCAACCCAAACCAGACCCCAGATCTGGAGTCTAGAATCCCAAACCCAGATCCTGGTCTCAGGCTCCATGGTCTGAACCCCAGACTCAAAAGCCAAAACCCAAAGTCCAGAACTATTCATAGACCCAACACTGAGGACCCAGACCCAGATTCTGGCACCCAACCCTGAACCCAGACTCCAAATCCCAGTATGCCAAATCCAGACCTTAAATCTGACTCCAGATCCTAGACTCCAGTCTCAGAACCCAGGATTCTAAACACAAGCCCCAGATCCAGGGTTCAAGACCCAGGACTCAGGATTCTGGACTTTAAACCCAGACGTCAGGACTGTAAATCCAAACCCAAACCCCAAACCCAGACCCAGGACAGGAGCTGATAGTTTTTCAGATCTAAACAGCCTGTTGCCCTGCATGGACATGGGAGGGGTGGGGGGAGGAGTAAACTCTTGGCAAGTAGTGGGGTGGGTGCTTGGCAGACCTCCCTGGCAGTTTTCAGAAGGGCATGAGGAATGTCCCTCATCTCATCAGAGCTAATTTGGGGAGCTCAGTGTATGGTTGCCACGTGGAGGGGCTTGGAAGGAGGTGAGGCCTGGCTGTCCCTTGGGCCCAAGAGCCAGAAGCAGGGGAAGAGGATTGGGTTCCCCACGTGCCCTTGTCCCCTGGGCCACAAGCTCCACAGGCTGCCCCAGCCCGCCCTGGCCCGCCTTTCCTGGCCCACAGCCTTTGGGCTGGGACACAGGCCCACACTTCCCGGAGGAGTCAAGAACGCGGCCTGGGCCAGACCCAGAGCCTTAGAAGTAGGTCAAATGTTGCTGCACAGCAGGTCCTAGGGACCCTCCCCTGATGTGGGCTGGCCCCACCAGGGCACACATGGGTGTCCACATAGATGTGAACTCACCACCACACAGTGGGCGTCCATGAAGACAGACCCCACACGGGGCCCCTAGGTCCCTAACCAGTTATACAGATTGGGGTACTATGGCTCCAGGGAGGGCAAAAGCTGCCTAGCAACTCTAACTAGTGGTGGCACAAGGAAAGCACAAGAACAGATGAATTACTACACCAGCCCACAGACCTGGAGCCATGGATAAAAGTTTGACTCCAAGGAGGACTTCCCAGCAAGGCTGCTCTGCCACCAACAGGATGTGGCCCGCTTCCCGGAGGCATAGCGCAGGGCCTTAAAAGATGGGAAAGAGTGCCCAAGGGGGAGGCAGGAGATTCCCTGTGCTCTTATGACCCAGCTTGGTCCCTGGTCCTCTTGGCCTCATTTTCCCCACCTTTACAATGGACAGGAGTAGGGCAAGGTGATCTTAGGTTTAGAGGACAGACTCTTCCCTGAGTCCCAGCCCATCTCCACTACCCCCACACCACACACAGACAACTCTGTCCTTGGGCAGGCCAAACACAACCCTCAGGCCCCTCCCTCTGCCCACTGTGCTGACGGGGACCAGATGCTCCAACCTTGTGGTTCTAGGGGTGGGGGTGGCAGGGCCCAGAGGGCTGGCAGGCAAACCCTGGGTTTGGCCCAGGGACCTATAATCAGCTCCTACCCCTCTGATCCTGGCCCAGGACTGACGCTTGGGGCTGTGGTGTCCTGGCCGGCTGTGGCCACAGCCGCTATATTTGGGAGCCCAATTCAGCATGACGGAGGGATGGGCAGGCAGGAGCCTCAGGGACCACAGTTTCATGGGGGACAGTATGGGGACAACATTGGCCAGACACAGTCCATTTTGGAAGGAGGGCACAGCCCTATCTTCAGGGCCATGGTCTGTTCTCAGGGACCTGAACAGGGGGCATCAGTGACTGGTCTAAGGAGGGTGATTGAAAATGTGAAGATTTAGCCCCTTATTTAGCCCCAAGAGTCAGAGTCCCACCTGGGGCCATGCATTCTAAGTACATGAGCAAGGGTGAGGGGCTGTCAAAGGTACGTGAGAGCAGAGAAAAGACCCTGAGAGGTGAGGTTTTGGGTAGAGGGGTCTGTGATGGGGGAGTACGAATATACTGGTCAAGGGGGCTAAAAACACAAAGACCTTGGAAAGGGGCAGAGGGAATGGAGTGAGGTGAAGCCCTGAGCCCCAGCTTCCCAGCTCTGCCTGCTGGTCCAGCTTCTGGACAGGGGCCCTGCCCCTCCCCCCAGAATGCCCTGTGGCCTTCCTGAACTGCCCTGGACATTTTCTGCTACTGGGCCAAACCCTGTACTCTCCCACCAGCAGTTTCCCAAAGAGCAAATATTTATTGTCCTTGGAAGAAAAAAAAAGAATCCCCTTTTAGGATAGGGGTCTAGGAGCTGCTATTAAGTTCTGCAGGGGCTCAGCAGCGGCCTGAAATGACCAGAAACCCTACCTAGACAGGCTGAGGAGGAGAAAGGAGAGTGTGGCATGAGCATGCCTTGGAGGAGAGGATTGGTGGCTGCCACAACTGCTGGGTTGAGGTTCTGCCCTTCACGACACTGGGCCACACTCTTTCCTCCTTTTCCCTCTATTTCCCCAAGACTTTTCCAGATCTAAGTGTGTACAGACACTGCTACATGAAGCATGAATATGTGTGTGATTGTAGGGGTGTGTGTGGTCTGTGTGTGTGACCCTGGGCATGAGGATGGGGCCACATGTGTGATTGTGGGAATGTGTAATCTTGTGTGCTTATCTCTGTCACCACGGGCATGAGGCTGTGACCCATGGGTATGAGCATGCATGGGTGCTCCTGGCTCTGTGTGCGTGTCTGTCTGCGAGCCTGTTCATCTGCTGGCATGAGCAGGGTGGGGGCCTGTGGACTCAACCTCTGTTGAATGGCCAATTCAGTCAAAAATGCAAGTAAATTTAGCAGGGGAAAAAAAAACCCGTCAGTCAGATGAGGAGTCTGAATTGAGTGGTTGTTTGACTGGATGGACCAACTGTCTCAGGCAAACAGTTCACGCTGGCTGGGAGAAGGAACTGGCTCTCCCAGGCCATCAGGGAGAAACTGGAGATGATATGACATAGGGACCTTCAATCATGGCAGAGAAAAAACACAGAGACTGAGACAGAGATGAGAGACAGAAACAAAGAGAGATGCAGCAGAGTCAGAAACAGGGGATAGAGGGTTGGTAGGTGGGCCAGGGACAAAGGTAGGGAAGAATGTCGCGTCCCAGAGCTGTCCTGTCACCCCTAACTTTGGTTTCCAACTAGCATAAGACAAGGTCATTCCCACCTCTAACTCACCTCGAAGCAGCCCTAGTGGACAAGGAGTGGGCACCAGACCAGGGTACAGGAAAAGAGGGTGGGCATAGGCTGTTGGACAGAGGGGACAGGATAAGAAAGGAGTCAGTGCTGGGGACAGGGACAAAAGTGCTGGAGGTGAAGGCAGGAGGGTGACAAGGAGGCGATGGTGGTGATGACAGTGGAGAGGCAAAGCTGGCTGGGAGACCATCCCTGCTCCTTTGCAGACCCCACCTAGCTGTGGTGCCCCCCAAAGACCCAGGGCCGTCCCCACTCTGCCCTACCCAGCACCAGCTGTGGCCTTGCCTCCAGTGGCCACATGAAAATCCTCTGTGGCCCAGGGTGTGGATGCTGTGTTAAAAATGGCCCAAGTCCCCAGCCAAGAATAGTTAGGATCAATTCCGGTACCTGCCTGTGTGGGTATTTATATATCCACCCACCCACCCAGTGTGGTTATGCCTCTCTCTCTCTCACACACATGTGTATGTGCACACATGCACACACATCCCAAGGATCCCCAGTCAGGCCAACCTGCCCCTCATGAGTGTCTGAGTCTGCTGTCCATCTGGATATATCCACTGGCCCCTGGATGCTGCCTGCTCTGCCTTTGCCCACTCTGCGCGGTTCCTTTCCATCAGCACTGGGGCCAACAGGAATCACGCACGCACACGCACACTGTACCTACACACCTTTCCACACCTCCTCACCCTGCATGGATGCCTTTGCACGCACTTCACACACTTGCACACACCTTTGTACATACATGTTTTTGCATACATACACATGCCTTTGGCGACACACACATACACCACACACACACACACCCCTAATGCACCACACTTTTGAGCTCACAGGTCTAGAAAGAACACCCAGGTGTGATTTCTGGGTGGAAATCAGGAGCAATAGGAAGGAGGAACAGGGCTGAAGACAGCAGAAATCAGGGGACCTTACCAGGCCTGCTTGGCATGGTCTGCATGGTACATGTCTGTATGTGTATAAACATGTATGTCCAGGTGTTTGGAGCCTTTCCCTTGCCTCTTCCCCCACACTCCTGGAGGGCCATCCCACCCCACCCTAAACAGAAGGGAAAACAAAGGCCCAAGCAGAGCAGCTGGGACAGGGAGGTCAGCATCCCTGATGTGGGGCTTGTAAACCTCAGCATCTGGTGTTGTTTTTGGCACATCCAGTTCAGATAAGGATAGGGTCAGAGCTCGGCTCTCGTGGGAAAGGACTCTCTGGAAGGCTCCCTACCCATTCCTTTCCCAGATCTTAGACCCCAGGCAAGCAAGAGGAAAGCAAAAGAAAAGGACACAGGACAGGCAATTTCCCATCGGGTCAGCCTTGAGGACTATGGGGAGACTGCAGCAGGTTCAGAGACCTCAGACATGTGAAGTGCTCAGGAATGTGAACCGACCACTCAGACCAGCATGGGACCCCCCAAGTATAGGGCCTGGAGTGGATGAGGAGGGGCAAAGCCAGGCACTCAGCTCTCTAAGCCCTCTGCCCCGGGGAGCCTCATAGGTTCTAGAGCCAGGACTGAAGTTGGGGGTTCTGTGTCCATGGGTCTGGAGCTAGGCTGGAAAAAGGAACCATTTGGAGAGACAGTTGGAATATTAGGAGACATGGAAGCATCATCCTCCTGATACAAACCAGATCAGGGTGCCAGTCCTGGGATTGGTATCTGGAGACAGGGGACACAGTTCTGGTGCTGGTGTCATCACAGACTCCTGGAGCCTCTCCCCTCTGGAGTCCTCAGTGTTCACACCTGTACAATGGGGTACCCTTGATGTCAGTGTGGGGCATCCTTGGACCTGAGTGTCCTTCCACTGCCCTAAACCTTCACCCCTGCCCAGGTCTCAGGTATGGGGGAGGGCTGAAGGTTACAGCCAAGTCAACAAGGAAACAATGGCTGGGATTCTGCACAAACACAGGGGCTAAGGCAAGGCTGCAGATAAGCTGGGAAGGACTGGGACATTCCAAACCCCCAGGGATCCCTGTTACTCAGTAAGCACCACCCATCTGAATTCAGGGAACCCTGCCTT